GAGAGAGAGAGAGAGAGAGAGAGAGAGAGAGAGAGAGAGAGAGAGAGAGAGAGAGAGAGAGAGAGAGAGAGAGAGAGAGAGAGAGAGAGAGAGAGAGAGAGCAAGAGCAAGAGAACATTTTCATAAGCTGTTCATATCTTTCTCTGTGTAGTAAATAACAGATTAAAATTGTAGTGATTGCTTAATTTTCAACAACAAAATTATATTACATCAAATCAGATTCATCATGCTCATTAACACTTTCAGCACCAACCAACTGGCCATATGTTCCTGGATCATTTTATAGATAATGTGATATCCTTGTTGTCATCTATCAAAGAAAGTTGAGTTTGTACAGTATCCCTTTGTATGAGAATTATTAGATGAACTATTTCTGCCTCAAAGTGTCTTTGCTAAACTCCTCCAGGTTTAAGTTATTTATTAACTTTTTTAACAACTGGAATTCCAGCTGCTTGGAATAGGAAGAGTTAAAGTAATAACTGCATGGAACTGAAAGAGTTTAGGAATTTATTATTCTTTAGTATCGTTTTAATATTCACATAGTTCATCACTGAGTAAAAGGATGGTCTGAGCTCAAACTTCTACAAGCAGTAGTTACTCTCACAACTTGCATTTTTTTAATAAGAGACTTTCTGTACTAACGATCTGACAGAATTTAACTAGACAGCATTTTCAGCTTTGCTGAATGTTCAGCTGTTTCAGTCAGTAAAACAGATAGGGTGGCTCTCAGAGCAGCATGAGAAAGCCAAGGCTCTTCATGATATAACTGTCACTAATGTCTGTTCTACCACTTTGTAGACAGGAAAGCCTTGAGTCTGAGGATTTAGGACCACTTAGTTAGTGCTGTCGCCATGGACTGTGCAGGTTAGGATGTTTAATTTTGCCCCTGACAGAAAAACTCCATCACCTTACTGGGGTTCGAACCTGGGTATCCTGCATGAAAGCCTAACGTTGTTACGGCTTGGCCAGCTGCTCCTCCATGATTTAACTGACATTACTCAATATTGTCATTAGCAAGTCTCCAACAGCCTACCTGAATAAGAGCTATGTAGAACCAATGCTCGTCAATGGTTATGCTGTTTAGATTGCCACTGAAACAAGTGGGAGGACAGCATCAAGAGATGGACGGGCAGCAGCCTGAGAGAGTGTACAACCAGGACAAGAGACAGAGCGTGTTGGAAATCATTTGCAGGCACCAGCCTTTTAAAAACAAAATGATCTTATCTTCCAGGCCGATCCAGCCACGAATGGGTACCATATAAAGTCCTGATAAGTAAAGGTGGCCGGTGTGATATTGACCACATTCCCCATAGAGTGCTGATCAGTCTAAAAATATAGGTCTAGCCCAATATGCCTGAAGGTGTGAAAAAAGGTCCTTTAGATATATAGGGATGTAGCGTTCATAATTAAAACATCACCGGATCAGCAGCAAGCTAAATTTGTTTATCAGGAAATATCATCCAGTAGTTGCAGAGTGAAAACTGTATATGCTTTTAAAAAAAAAAAAAACAGGAGTGGGGTGGGGGTGTAGGTATTGGAGTATGTGTGTGTTTACCAAAAAAAAAAAAAAAAGAGTGCTGGGCAGGGTAGGGGGAAGGGTTCAACATCCGTAAAATGACACTAAAGAACCCCTTTCTACATCACTGATGCCTCAGGTTTAGGATGGTAGACAACTTTTGTATAATAAATGGCAGTCAACAGAAGATAACTGGCAATATCATGCTGGCTGTTTTTACTTTCCAGGACCTTTCCTGGCATTCATTTTAGCCCGGATTGTTATGGGAGCCCAGATCAATGATAAAATATTTGCCTTTATGGGAATTTAAATTAAAGACCTTTGGTCGGCAGGCAAGTGCCCAGAAGCTGCATTATCACTGTCTTTAAGTACCAGAACATTTCACAGGATTTTCTACAGGGCCACAGATGTAGCAACACACATACGTTGTTCACGCATTAAATTTACTAGCCATGTTAATTTAGTATGCTTAGACTAAACATCAGATCACACTGTTGATTGCTTTGTACACAGAGGCAGTAGCCTATCACACACAGTGAGTGTTGGATGGGACTGAAAGAGTGATTGCAGCTGAATTCAAATAGAGGCACTAATAGATCATTTCGGTCTGAGGAGAATGGCGTTGGGGAGAGCTACGAAGGGTTCTGGCCAATGCTAAACACTCAGGGGAAGGGCGAGACGAATATACAATCAGACAGTTACTGGTACCATCAGAATTGAAACTCTTCGCTTGCTGCTGAAGATGGGAATGGAGTGCTTATGGGGGTATCCAGAGTGCTGTGATGTCAATTCTTGATTCAACATTTTTTGCAGCTCAACGCTATGTAAAGTTCTTAAATACATGTGACCAAATATTTGTGCATGCAGCAAGTGGCATTATCATCAGCAGGTCTAGTTTATTAGAATTACAATCCAAATTTCCTGGGCAGTTCCCACATCAGATCACCAACTGATTAAAAGAGTCTTCTACTGCAGGGCTATTCAACTAAGATTACTTTGAAAACACGGATCATCATGGGCCAGAGGCCCAAACCCCATTACAGAAAGATCATTAATACAATACAACTGGCAGTGAACTGCAGGCCTTTACGAGCCAATTCTGGCACCTGGGCCGCTAGTTGAAAAGCCCTGTTCTACCGCGTGCTACAAACAGGAAAAAGCGCCAAAGGCAGATAAAAGAAACAGTTCAGGACAGCCAAAAAAAATCTCACTGAAGGTGGCTGTCATTTATCCTGACGCCCAAGGAATCACTTCATGGGGCTGTTTATCCTGGGGCTCAACTTTTTTGTTGGGAAGTGGAGGTATGTGTGGTAGCCAGAACAATAGTTCAAGAAAGACAAATCAGAAAGGTTTATGAAGTGAATTCTCTAACTGATGAGGCCCAAATTCCCTGCCCAGACTGGCCTCATCAAGCAACTATGTACTCTGTTTCACTCTGTTTAGCAAAAGAAAGGACTAGTAATCCTAACTTAGGATAGACAAACATCAATCCTTTATCATGACCCATGTGTGGGGTTCCAGAACATGGGTGTGGTTGGTGGGGGGAGTATCCCCTAACAAACATATGTTGTAAAAGATAACCAATGCCCTCTAGCATGCACATATCAAAACTATGAATAATCAAAGATTAGCTGGAGTTGGATGTTTTGGGCCTAAAGGTACATATATCACAGCCTAGCTGTAAACCACATCACAAAAGATCAACCAAGCTTTTAAGAGTGAATACAAAAGAAAAAGATTGACAAACAATAACAATCATTTATTTGAAAGAATCATCAAGTTGCTGCAAAACTGAATGTCTCTTGAATCTTTTCTTCGGAGGCGAGCACCTGTAATGAGTCAGCACACTTTTCTCAAGATCACAATCTGCAAACATTTCTCTCGTATTTAGTTGTTGTGTATTCCCACGTTTACTGCACCTGTTAACATTAGACACCTGCAGGCTGGGACAGTTAGTGGCCGCTATTTGTATTTGTGAAGGCGCACAAGTTTTATGGCTGGTGTCTCTCTGATATAAGAAGTGTTCCTTTGCCTGAATGTGAGGACAGGAAAATGTGTGCGAGATCAAAATAAGAGATGAGGTTTTCTTCGACTCATGTGCTGAAGAATGTGACGGTGTTAATGATAATGATGATGACGATGTTGATGACCTCATAGTTGACCTTACTGCAGGACTTGAATCTGAGAATGCAAAAACAAGAAAATGCAAGTGTAATATATAAAAGGGAGGAACAGACCCAGTGCCAACTTACAGGCTTCATAGACAAATTACTCAGTAAATTTCAATGGTTTTCAAGGTAATTTTAGTTTGTTTCAAGATTGTGTTGGGGTAATATCACATCCTCAGTGCGCTCACAGTGTGTAAATTTTTAACCATACCTAAACGCATGCACGTAAACAACAGGACAATAATTAACATAATTACAAAAATAATATTGCAAATTTGCCATAATACTGTAAGCTTGCATAGCTTTTCAGATGTATTAATTTTTTTCATATATACATTACAGAACTGTAAGTTAAACTACACAAAATAATACAATCCCACATCAAATCATGAGCTGAATCACGTGAACTGCAAGATTTACACACCATTCAAACATTTTTGCTTTATAATTTACTCTCATCTCTTGTTCTCCAACTGTTTTCCCCAGACTGCCTGTCAACAATTTTAATCAGATCTTCCTTGGCTCTGTCTTCCTCAAACTGTTTGAAACAGAAATAAGGGAGATGTTGCGCTGTTTTTCAGCCTGCAGAGCATTTTTATCAGCAGCATCAGTGATGGTTTTAACATCTTTTTCCAAAGCAATTTTTCTTATTTTTAGCGTCTCCAGTTCAGTTTCAAGCAATTTTTGTTTATTGCTTTTTGTGTGTGTGTTGTTCAGTCTTCTCCGTCTGACTGTCCAAATACAACATGTATCTACTGTGGGCACTACTAGCACTGGTTAACATCTTTGGTGTTATCTCTACCCTACCCTGATTTCTAGTATGATCAGCTATTACTCTTTGTGATGTTAAGAGTTCTTTCAGCCATGTTACATTCATCCATTTTTTTATTTCCTGAAAACCCCCCTTTCAAAAGTTGCTTGTCCATGGGACAACATTAATAACATTTGCACAATACTCCAAACATTCTGGAACTCATTTCTGCCTGATAACAGGTCACGGTAAAATAAGTCGAGTCTGTCTGTTTCCCTTGAAAAAGCAGACAATGATCCACTTGCTGCTGTTTGCTCAATAAATGTTGCAAATTCGGAAATAACACAGTCAAATTCAGTTGCATTAAATTTCCTTGATTTCACCAAGGTTTGTAAAACTCTTTTCAGCTTCCTACTGCATTGGCTTTGTCTTGAATAATTATGCTTGGATCAAGACAGGCCAAATCTTTCACTAATAAATACTGAGATTTGGCCAAAAATTTCTCCATAAATGTTACCATTATTATTTTGCAATCATTCTTGAAATTAAGAATTTGAAGATCGGGTTAATTTTCTCTCTCTCTCTTCAAATCCTTAAAGACTGAATCAGCCACAAAACCAATATCTACTGTATGACCAGTGACATGATTCTGGGGGCCATTCACACTGAAATTCAAAATATCCCTAGTTCTTGAAAGACTTGCAATCCTTTCCTTCTTTACAAATTGCCTTAAAATAGCAATGTTAATGTTGTGTAAATATGTAGACAGGAAAGGAAGCAATAGATTGTCAGTCTGATACTTCCGAAGGAAAGGCTCCAGCTGCTTATTTAAAGAAACAAAAAAATGCCAGCCTGGAAGATAAAAATATGTCATTGTTGGCTGCTGTTCTGACAGTTTCAGCAGATTCTGTTTGTGGCTGAGTAATTTCCTATTTTGCTGCAGAGTCACAGAACTTCTTTAAATGTGGCAATATGTCAAAAGCTCTCTGTGCCACTTTAGAATTTTCAAGCCATCTATGGGCACAAAACTTTAGAGGTGCTTGTGTACTTTGAGATGTTCTGAAGTAATCCTCATGCCTGGCTGGGGTGTCTTCAAGTAATCTATACATCGATTTAAGCACTTTCTCCAATCCCCAGCCTGCTGCAACCATGACTGATTTACAAGCACCATGAACTTTGTGTAGCCCACAGCTGCCAACATTCAGTAACTCTGTGCCATAGTTTTCACCAAGCAACTTATTAACTTTCTCATGAAATGACCAGTTTTCATTCGGTCCATCCCTTGAAAGCTGTATTAAATAAGCCAAATTCAATGTGGACGTCACATCTTCAAAAGTAGATTGCATATCCACAGCTGTGGCATGGCTAAGACATTATGATGTCAAATAATGTGATTTAATAACATCAGCATCCCAAAATCAGACATGGAAATCCATTTGTTTTAGCTGAAAGGATTTGTTCATACTTTTATCAAACAGGAGGACAAAATTTCTCTTGAACAACTTGGTTTCAAGTAATGAAGTGAAGTATGGGGCTAGCCCAAATGAAACCAAGAAGGAACATTTTCTCTCAGACAAAGCAAAGTTTTTTTTAGCAATTGCACTGTCTGGAAACATTCTCTGGAAGTCTGATTAATGCCTGTGTTTGAAACAAAGCTGTGATGTCAGTTGATTGAAAATAAAGTCCAAACAATCTCGGATTTCAAAGAATCTTCCTTACACACCAATGAAAGGATGTCTGGAGTGTGGTTGATGGTGTTGGTTGATGATGTTGATGCCACAGAAGATTATGGTAAAACTGAAGTGGAAGCATCACGCATTTTATTCTGAAAATATAATACTTATATTTAAGCATTTTTGGCAATCATTTTGCAAACATGCATGAAATAAATAGTTTTCATTTTAATTTACATTTAAAATTGACTCAGTTATGTTCCATGTGTGGTTGCAATAGAAGCAGTATATCAGGCATTTATTATTTAACTTAAAGTTAAATTATTTAACTTTAGAATGGAAAGAAAATGGAGGTAACAGGCAAAAAATAAAAATATAAAAATTACTATTTACTCTGCTTATGAATACTTAATGACTAAGCAAAAGTGTATGTATGCACAAGCCAAATAACTGATAATGGTTTATCAGTGGCGCTGAAGCCAATATTGGTGTTAACTGGGTTTTTTTTTAATGAACAAAGTTCATATATCACTGATTTTAGCAATAAAAACAATTCACCAATGTTAATAATTAATATGTTTTACCTTCCTCTCTGGGGCAAACAGAACCCCACAGATTATTTATAAAACAATTTAAAACTATTTAAGGAAAAAAGGATTACACTTGACAGAATAAATAGCAGTACTTCTAAAATACATTTTTATATTCAAGTGATTTTTCTTTTGTTCGAAGCCTCTAATGACTTTGATAAACAATTATTTAAATTTAGCATGTATTTAATTTCTAACAGCCATGACATGAAGTGAAGCGTAAAAGTAAAGATACTGATCCGTTTTACACACATGATCAAAAGAATAATTATAATTGAATAATAATAATAACGTAATAATAAAATTAGATTTAGCAGAAAGTAATTGAAGCTTTAAAATTCTAACCATTTCTAACACTAACAACACTAAATTAAGTTAATACTACTTACTTTTACTGAAAAAAAACAAGACGTGATGCTGGTGTTCTGGGCTGAGACAATTTCTTAGTGCCTTTTTCAACTTGCGTGTGAACGAAGGGCAGGTTTTCCTATAGCCTTCAAGTCTATGTCTTTCTTACATAGCTTGCATTTTGCGTGATTTTCGCTGATCCCAGCAGCTATCCAATTTTTAGAGTCAGGCATGTCTAACCATCTGAGCTGAAAATGGCATCCAGGCATTGTAATGTAGGCTGTAGTTCTAAATTTAAACGCACGACGAAGTCCTTATGTATGACACATGGTAAAACAGACAAAGAGAACAATGAAGAGACGGCCGATCAATTGCCCGCTCAAAGTTTACTGGAAACGATCGTAAACGTTGAAAACGAAAGCGGTTGAAACTAGCCTAATGGCTGAAAAAAGCCTAACTGCCAAAAATCGCAGGACTACCGATGATCACATTGCGGCGGTCAAAATTCAAGGCTTCTCAAGGTCAGTATCTCTTTTTAAGATCAAAATTAAGGCTCCTGGTCGTGGCCACAATTTCACAGGTAATTTCAAGTTTCCTGGTCGGCTACGAACTCTGTATCAAATCTGACCTAACAGAAAGTAATAAAAGCTAAAAAAAAATGATTTCTTAGAACTCTAACTTTAATTAATATTACTTATGTTTACTGAAATAAAAGACGTGGTGTTGATATTCTGTTTTAAGACAATTTCTTTGGGCCCTTTTCCATTTGCGTGTGAACGCAATGCACCTTGTCCCATTTTCTTCAAGTCTATGTCTTTCTTAACTAGTTTGCTTTTTGCGTGATTTTCTCTAATTCCAACAGTTATTAAATTTGTATAGTTAGATTTATCTACCCATTTGAGCCGAAAACAACATCCAAACATATTGTAAATGTAGGCTGTAGTACTAGTACTATGTTTAAACGCACAATAAAGTCCTTTCTAAAAGCAAACAATGAAAAGAGATCGATCATTTGCCCGCTCACCGCTTACTATAAATGACTGTAAACATTTAAAAGGAAGGTAGCCAAAAATAACCAAATGGCCGAAAATAGCCTAACTGCCCAAAATCACAGGTCTTTCGACAATTGTTTGTTTTACTTCCGATTCTCCCATTACGACGGGTGAAATTCAAGGGAAATTGGTCCTGTTTAAGGGCAATCGGTCTTTTTCAAAGCCAAAATCAACGCTCAAACGCACAGCCACAAATTCAAGTCTCTAGATCTGATACGAGCCTGCTCTTAACAAGTATGTCATAAAAGTCTAATCACGGATGTATGCTTCGAAGCCAAAGGACATCTACCTGAGAGGTGAGGAACCAACAGTCTGCTTACAAATAAGTCAGATCTGTAAAATGGATGTGCATGCAAAATTCAAGTTCTGCAACAAGACGAATGTCCAGAAGTGGATGAACAGCCAGAAATTTCTGCTATAGGTTACAGCCAGTGAACACAAAAACAGAAAAAGTATACTTTTATCCAACTGTAAAATGTATACAGTGCAGATATGATAAGGAGAACTTACCAGCGACCCAAGAAATGGTTCTTCTGATCAGAAATTCCTCTTATGAAGACAAGAGTTCAAGTAAGAAAAAATGCTAGCGATAAACAAATTGTTCTTCAGAACAGAAATTCTCCGCATCCGAGATCGCTTTAAGTGGTCAGCATCGTATTAACATAGTAAGTAAATAGCACAACGCCTTTTCACGCCGGTGGCTTTTAGGCATACGATGCTAGACTCGTACTTTCATAAACAACTCAGCACTCAACGAGTGATGGGGTGAACATCTCACTGGCCACCTTGTGTTTTTTTTTTTTTACTATCTTGGACTTTATCTGGTACTCTTCTTCTTCCTCTCTTCTTCGCGTTCACCAGCGGAAAGTTCTGGTTGTTTATCCACCTCTGTATGACCTGTTCCAGAACCTAAGTGTTGTGTGCACATCCGTTTTACAGATCTGAATTATTCAAATCAGGCGGTTGGTTTCTTGCCTCTCAAGCAGATGCACTTTGACTTTGAAGGAAACCCCCCCCCCCCACCCCCTCCTCCCCCCAATTAGTCGACTCTTACAACATGCTTGTTGGGGAGGCAGTGGATCTATTCTTGCTGTCCGCTACAATAGGGCGCCCGAACCCACATGGGCTACCGGAACCCACACGAGGTCCCAGAACCCACAAGGGGTAACCTGGTACTCATTTTTGTGAATTAATCTTTGTCCTAGAGTTGATGGCAAAAAAGCATCACATTATGAAGTTAGATGCCCCCCCCCCCTTTTTTTTTTTTAGTTGCGTAGCTTATGTTAATGTCATACTATCTTTCTATAGTGTCCCTTTTACTCCCCCCCCCCCCCCCCCCCCCCCCCCCCCCCCCCCCATGTCTTTCTTGGTCGACCTCTTGCCGTGTAACCTGCTGCTCTCATGCAGTGTGCTCAGGGTGCTGGCCGACTTGATTCCATTCTGACCAGATGACTACACCATGTGATTATTTGATGTTCTATGAAATCATTTAGTACTGCAAAGTACTGTGCCTACCATTATTCTTAGTTCTTTAATACATTAACATAGCAAAACAAACACAAAAATGATCAAAATATAAAAAAGAAAGAGTATACTTACAAAATGTCTGACCAGTGATGCCTAATTTTAATGATGATTCTGCAGATTTATTGAGGGATGTCCTTTTTGGCAACTGGCACTCAAGCTTCCAGTTTTCCAGCACATCTGCTGCCCACCCAACAGTTTTCACAAGGAATGGGGAGGTAACACACTGGCATTTATCTTCATGTTCAGTAAGAGTCTCCCAGTTATTCAGTAAAACTGTGTCCTGTTTTCAACAAACAAACAAGTCAATTATGAGGCAACTGTTACATCTATGTAACAAACAGAATTATTGATAAAACAGCTCCAGAATAAGTGACAATTAGCAAATCTTCTTATTCTTATTATGTCTATGTATGTGTATGCTTGTATATAAATGTAGATGTGTGTGTGTATGTATCACGTATGTCTGTATATGAGTTTGCATGTATGAGAACGTAGGAGTATGTATACATGTGTGTGAGTGTGTACGATTGTGTACACATGATGTGTGTATGCATTATTCTATAATTTATATTTCTTTATTATATCCATAACATGCATTATTGATAACAGGTATTGGTACTCTGAAAAATGAGTACTTAGAAGGGCCGAATGTCAGACTGGCCTGCGTGCCCAATTTGTAACCCTTTAAAAATAAAGTTTGTTCGTTCGTTCTTCTTCTTTTTTCTCTTTCACCATTTACCTCGGCGAGGTGTTCGGGGGAGATGCGAGGATCGTTTGTGCACTTTGTCCAATGCATTGACAAGCTGGTGTTCATTTGTTTGGTTGCTCCTGATAATGTCGCTCTATCTCTTGCGTGGTCTTCCGCTTGCTCTGGGTTCATTATGTTTCTTCAGCGTGGCTCTCTGTGGCAGTTGGTGCTAGAGTATTCTCGTCAGGTGGCCAAACCATCTCATTTGTTGTTCTTTAATGAACTGTATGACTGGTTTCAGTCCTAGTCTTCTTCTTATTTCTTTATTCTTGATTTTATCTTTTCTTCTCACACCGGCAGTTCTCCTAAGACATCTTATCTCTGTTGTTATGATCTTCCGCTCATTAGTTGTAGTAAGGGTCCATGTTTGGCACTGGTAACACAATGTTGGCCCCAAAAACCGTTCTTACGAGATTTGCTTTGGTTGACAGAGGTATTTTTCTATGGGTCAGAAGCAGTCTTAATTGTCCCATAACTCGATTTGTTTTAGCACATTGTATGTTGATTTTTCTATATATTCTTCCATCGGAGATGAAAAAGGACCCATATTTAAATCTGCACGTTTGTTTTATTTCTGTGTTATTTACTTTAATTGATGTGGTGTCTTCTTGTCTACCTGACAACATTGCCTCTGTCTTATCAATGCTGTTGTTGTTGTTGTTGTTATCGATCCAGCGG